TTTTAATTGAGATGTACTCATAAGACAATGGGCCCCTGGGCAAAGATATGCAGACAGGAGGATGACACAGAATTTTTTTGTGATTTTGTGTCTCTTTTGGTTGTTTTGTGTTGCGTTGTATTCATTTCATGTATCCCTGTGGTTGTTTTGCCCATTTTAGTAGTTAGTTTGCATCTCTTTGTGGTCTTTTTGAGTCTCTTCCTGGTCAGTACGTGTTACTTTAAGTGACATTTTGCAGGTGAAGACCCATTTAGTAATCTGTCCATGTGTGTACTGTTTGTTGTGTCTTCGTTAGTCCTCTGAGATTTGTAATCCAAATGGAATTAAGTACACCCTTGAAAAAAAGGTTACCTTTGGGAGACTGTCAGACCCTCATCTTGAGGGCTCTGAAGGAAATCCTCTTCAGATCAAACTCTGACAGTAGAACAAACAACTGATAATGGAAGTCTTTGACAACCATGGTGGTGAGAAATACAGAGCCAAGATTTGCTTAAAAAAAGTACTAATATTTTGCACATATGTTTAATGTGGGGTTTTTCCTGTATGATTTTTGTGTCATAGTTCTTGTTGTGCACTCATCAGTCTCATTCAGGCATTATTGGTTACAGGTGTCAGATCAATAGGTCCCACATTTCTCATATTTCTCTGTCACAAAGGAACGAGTCAAACTTAACATGCAAGTTTTGTTGAGCTTGATTTTTAAAAAAATAAAAAACATTTGTGTTCACAGTTAATAACTGAATAGATTCAGAATTTACATTAAAAGAGGAGAACTATATATATTTGATTTTATATAAAAACTATGTACACACATGCACCCATACAGTCATACTCCTACACACCACACATCACTTATATACAATTATGTATACATTTTAAATACCAGAACAATAAACAACATACTACAGGAAAACATCTTTTGTTTTATTCAGTTCTGTAGTCTGATTGCTGAAGGCAGGGATGCTGCTTTCACCCTGTGTGTTCTGCACTGGATGTGTGTAAGATCGTTGCTGCTCCAAGGCAGTCTACTTTTTCAGGATTTCATTCATTAATTTACTCTCCAGGCTTATGTAGGCTCATGCAGTGGGCAGCATGGAGGGTAACATCTTGGGCAGGTGCCAGTGAATCACGGGACTAAAATTAAACTGGATAATATATCTGAATTATGTTTTTGCTGTCCAGAGAAATTAAAGAAAAAAACCCTCCAGAGTTTGTCAGTGCATTTGATTTAGTAATACCACTAAAAATAATATAATAATAATACTGATGATGATGAAACTGGGAATTTTCTGTAATGTTTGTGACAAGTGCAGACTTTATCAACCTGCAGGGTGTCTTGAAAATAATAAGACTCCTCTCTCAGGTTATTTTTAAAACCTCCATCAGGTCTTTCATCAGGCAGGCTTGGCTGGACTGTTGCACGAGTTATTTGAGTCAAATGAGCCTATTACCGCCTCGTCTTAGCACGACAGGGTCAGGTTCAATCAGGGAATTGGAAAATATCATTTCTGACGGGAATAGATTTCGTTTGTTCAACCAATCTCTTCTACTAATTACCCAAATGGACAGGAGCTGTCAGGAGACAATAACTATTCCCTAATAGAATTTGCCCCACAAGTGCAATTTAATTTTCTCCTCCGTGCTCTCTCCTAAGGTTTCCCCCCTCGCTTTCTGCCTCTCTCCCTCTCTCTGTTCCTCTCCTGCTTTCGGACCAAATGCTTAGGGACACGGTGCCATCGCTACCTAATGTTGTTTTGTCAGTGGAAGCCGGGGAGATTGTGGACTGTTTCTGTGCGAGCTGCGGCTCATCCTGCTGAGAAAACCCCCCCTTCAGCGGCGGCATGGAGGAGAAGAGGAAGAGGAGGAGGAGGAGACACTCTGCCTCAGAATCACCGGCGAGCTGCGGTGATTAGGTAGGTCTGCACGGTGGTGTTATATATTCATCCTGCAAGCATGGAGGGGATTTACAGTTCTCTAAAATATGCATCTGCTTTGAAGTAAAGTCATTGAGATGTGATGCATTTTGTTTTTTATTGATCAAAACCGTCACGGTGGATTGTAAGTGCTGTTTTGCAATCATTTGCACACAAAGTGAGTGTGCGGTGTGGAGTTGTCACCATTTGTAATGTGCATGTGCTCTTGTGCTGTTTGATTTTGTGTGTGTGTGGGTGGTTGGGTGGCTGATTGACCTCTGTATAACTGGAAATAATGTCCAACATATTAATGCATAAATCCTGTATTTACACACATAAAAAATAATAAATTAAACCCATTAAATATGTGATGTTTTGGCTCGTGATAAACCAGGCCTGCTGCACAGGCACAGTCAGATATGACAGCACAGGGTGACACACACACCTGTGTTATCAGCTTGCTCTCCCTGCACAGATGGATGTGTTTCTGTATTTCTGACTCCCTGCTCAGTAAGATGGATCTGTGAATCTCACATGTCAATGAACTCGTCCACTGAAATATTAGATCTAATTAGAGGTGGCTGGGTCAACAGCGGTGGCAAAGGAGTCGCCCTCTGTGTGAATTATTGCCCGAGAGCTGCTTCCTCCACAGCTTTTTTCCTCTCTCTTACAGTAGCACCTACACATGGACAAAGATCCGTCATTTCTCCTATCTCAGAGAGTGCATTATTCTAATCATTTCATCATTATTCTTGCTCTGCTTTCTCGTGTTTGAGTGCATTTTTTAAGGATAAAAAATGATTTGGTGTTTTGTTAAATCTGATTTATGTGCGAGGGCCTAGCAGTAAACAACTGGTTGAATTTTGTCAATATTAAAATATAGATTTTGCAGCCTAATTATTCATATATCACCTCCTCTTTTAAATATTTTCAGTCATCTTGTGCAGTGTATTTTTCTTGATGGATCCAGATGTGCATTGTTTTGCAATTCGTTTTGTCAATCCCACATTTTTTATTTTTTAGGTGCCATCTCATTTAACGATGCAAAAAACGTCATTTAGTGTCCCACCAAACCAGATGTGCGCGCTCACATCTTTTCTCTTTCTGCATTTTGCATCCGTCAATTATTCTAATTGTGTTGCCCTTTGCTGACAGGTTAAGAGCATTTTTATCTGCATTGTTTTCCAGGGCAGCTAAAGGGGTCTCGATACCAACAATCAGAGTAATTGAATAGTTGAATAAATTGAATGATCTTGAGGGGAAAAGTGTATAATGAAAATAAAGTAAGACCAGATGACTCCTTTGCTGCACATGCACGCCATGGATGGATGGATGGATGGATGGATGGACACCTGGCCTGAGAGACTGCAGCTTTGAATCGCTTTGATAGAAAAAAAAATATTCCAGTATTATCCCATGCCTGCTTTTTTAATCAGCTTGATGTGCGTTTTCATTTTACTAAATTACATTTGAAACATTAACCACACAAGGCGCACGGCTTATGGGATTGAGGGTCCCTCCAGTATATAAACGGTGTGCGACAATGGAATAAACAGTCCGATGGAAATACGGGAACAGATATGAGGATAAATCAGCATAATGTAGCAGCAAAGACAATGTGTCTTGTTTGAAATGGACACACGCAAAATCTCATTTATTTCCCCCAAAGCTGGAGGACACTCATTTGTGTCATTTGTGCACACACTTTCTGCACACTGCAGATTGTTCAATGATAATTGAATTCCAATTTCTTTAAATATATTCTTTAGTGGAAATATTTTTCCACACACAAAAAAAATTCCATACATTTTCTGGGGTTAACAATAAATGTAGAGCATCTTTTTTTAAAAATAATTTATAATTATTATCGTCATTTTAATTATAATTGTGGCACAGAAATGTGTTGAATTGATACCATGATAATAATTATTGTATCAAATAAATTATTTAAAATTTATATAAATAAAATATTGATTTGTAAAATTTAAAAAAAGAAACCTAATTTCTAGTTCAAAATAAACTCTGGTTGCAGTTAAGCGTGTAACCAGATGTGTCTGTGCAGATGTGGTGTGACCTGCAGACGGACTCCCTGTTGATGAAAACTACCTGCGCCGCGTTTGGAGGCGGACCGGCGGGGGAAAGCACCACTGTGTGCTTTTCTTTCCACGCTTGAAGTAAATTGGAAGCGAAGATTGAGTTCATCTAGCTTGAACTAGCGGCCCTCCGGGGGGAATATCTTATCCGGGAGAGCAGTCTCAGACGATGGGGTTTGAAATGAACAGTGTCAGGAGGACTGCGCCCAGACTCCTAATCCTACCTGTCACTGAGAGCTGAGAGACATCCAGCTGGATGGGCGCTGCTGCCACGCTGCCGGGAGAGTGTACACGGCTCAGGCAGGTGAAGGCGCTGTGGATTTGACTCAGACATGTGTCCAATAATAACACTTCTGTGTGTGGTTTCACTTTTGCTCCGAGTGACACCTTTTCACTGTGAAATGATATTTGAACTGAGACAAGAGGGGAAAACGTGTGCACGAATATCCTTCTATTTTGTGGGAGATATGCACCTTTCATATTTGCAACCACGTGCAATGACAAAAACTTGCATCTTGTCTAAAGCATCTTGTGCATGGGGAAGATATGCGCAGCAGTGAAACCTTCAAGGACAGCTCCCCTTTCTTTATGAATGCTCTTATTGTTAATTCTCAAAACAAAAGTGAGCTGTTCCTCGTTTTCCTGGCTGCATGGATGTCACCCCCCCTCCTCCTCCTCCTCCTCCGCCTTCTTACCAGAAGGAGCCCTGCTGGCCCGGGGCCCCTCCAGGAGCCACTGCAGTGAGCTATTTATGGTCTCCACAGGAACAAGGTCCCGCCTCTCTGGAGACATTTTCATATACCATGTTAGACGCCTCTCCTCCTCTCGCTTTTTCCTCCTCTGCTTGTACACCTATGGAGGATGCTTTCCGCCCCCGGGGGCCTCCTCTTCCTGCTCTCCCATTGGCCCCCGATGAGCCTCTGCCGCGGTGACGTCAGGCCCCGCCGCCCCTGCAGCGCTGAATGGACCGAGCAGCCTGTCTGATTCACTCCAAAACAGCTCGGCACGGCACGGCACGGACAACATCCCGGGAATAGAGGCATAACAGGGATAGAGGCTTGACGGGGGACAGCGAGGACAGACAGCCTGCAGAGAGGAAGGAGAGAGGCCTCATCATCAGCAGCATCATACTTTTGTTTCTCTCCAGAAGACAGGACGGGGGAGTGCGCCCACCGTGTTGCGGGTGTATGTGCGTGCGTTTGTCTCCCGGTTTGGATCACGATGATGCAAAGTGCGGCGGTCCTACCGACAGAGAGTCCTGTAAAGAGTTTACCGGAGATTCTCGGAGTGCCACTGCAACGTAAGACATTTTTTACCCTCCTTTTTTTGGTGTCGATTATCAGTGTGGAAAGCGACTGGCGGGTGCAACCTGTCCTGCAGGGTTTGGCTGTAAGGGAGAGGGGGGTTCAGTTTCAGTAACTCGGCCGAGGATGAGGATGAAGAGAGGAGGCTGAACCTCTCTGTCTTAGACTGTCACGTACAGGCCAATGATGTGTCATGCTGCTTATATTTCAACGAGCATAGACGTCTTAAATAATACTAATTATTGGCCTCAGAGCCAAGCAAAGACCATCCCGCATGTCCATGAATCTTTGCAGCCTCGCCGGGCTCTGCAATAGGCTGCAACACTCACAGTGCAAAGGATGGCACTTAGGATGAAATAATAATTCTCTTATTTAAAAAAAACAGCTTTTAATATTCCAATTTGGCCTCAAACTTTGCTGTATCCCCTGTCAGGTTGCTGGGCTCACAGTGAGCCTTCAGAGGCAGCTGTTAATTTGTAAACGAGCCTGCATGGTCAAGAGATCAGACGCAGTTGTCATCACCCATCAGACAAACACTCACTGACTTTGATTGACACGCATTACTGGGTCAAATCAACGCCTCATGCGTTTTATTTAGTCGATTTCGCCTCTGATACAAGGCCTATATTTCTGTTTTTATTTTTTGCAATTAAGAATGATATAAATAATTCGTTTTGGCCACTATTTAACAGATATTCATCACAGTTATTCTGCAGCATCCCATTGTAGTTTCTACCTTTAAGCATCAAAGGCGAGAATTACCTTACATCTGTTCGTCCCGGCGTGTTAATCTGTCCCAGGCCCTTCATAATCTGATCGTGCAATCAAGATAGCAGTGCAATGGGATACATCTCTGCTCTGACCTAATTATTCAGAGGCGAGGTGCTCAAATGTACAGATGGACCTACTCTAATAGGCTAAAAACAAAAACAAAATTTGATAACACAGGGAGATAATTAATAGAGTGCTCCCTGGTTTCAAAACACTCATAATAAAATGTGTTGTAGCTCTGAATATTTAAGTTAATGGCCTCTAAATTACCCCAAAAATACAGAATAATTGTTTAATTTGTGGCACATTGCTGTTTAGTGTAACAAAAATACAGGTGGTGCCATTTGGAGTCCCTCGCAGCCTGTTCAGTAAAGTATTTAAATGAAAAGGAGACTATATGTGCTCGGCTTATGCTCTTTAATTTTATAAATCGAGGCAGATTAAAAGATTGGATAAGGATCCTGCCACTCAGCCCCCTGCGGTACCAGCATTCATCCTGGATTTAAACCTGGATTATTCCAGGAATAAAAGCAACAGAGAATTTATCTAAACATTTATTCTACACCGTGGACAGAGTGCTCTGCTGACTCAGGGCAATTACACCCAAACTTTAACCTGCAGGCTATTAGTCTGGGATATAAAGTGTTTACCTCACGTTTAATTACCACAAATCATTCGACAATTGAAAGTATGAGAGGCTGCCAGAGTGCACTTATTCTTATAAGAGGAGGGGAGAGGGAAAAAAACCCTGTTAAAGCAGTTTGGAGTTCTCTGAAAATGCGTTTCACTTCTTGTGTGTGGGATGATGGAGGCGATGAGACTGGATGGTAGGAGTGAATTGAAGGAGTGGAGTGGTGGCAACTGATACTGAGATATGAAGACCTCCTGGACACACGAGGTTTACTCTCTCTCTCTCTCTCTCTCTCTCTCTCTCTCTCTCTCTCTCATACACACACACACACAGGAGCTGGACAGTGGACCCTCTGCCAAGATCGTGCTGCTGTCCTTTCAGCACCACTTCTCTCGGTCCCGCTCAGCTTCATCCACCCCACCACTTATCTCCAGATATTTAAAACGACTCTAATTTCTCCTCACATAAAAAACAAGATCAGTGCACTTCTTTCCAAATACATATTTCTATTATCCATGTGCGAATTGACTCACTATCAAGGTGGGAAAAGGCCAGTGCAGCCGATGGTCCTGTGTCTGTGTCTGTGCAGGAATGTTGCTCTATTTACTGTGTGCATCGCTTGGGCCGGATATTTTCTGCAACATGCATCCCTCCCTCCTCCCTCAGAAAAACGACACCTAATCAAAAATATTAATATGCTTTTTCCACTGATTTAAACATATTTAATTTTAGCCACAAATGCCTCAAATTAAAGCTGCAAAAATGCACAAAAAATGCAAAAACACACATTTTAAATATATAAAACGCGTGTCCACATCCTGTGCAGGCTGCTCAGACCTCCATGTTGCATTAACCGGGAGCTTTGTGTGTTTCTTTGCAGACTGTGTGCTGTGATGAGATTAAGGCGGTTATTGTTAGATGATGTTTTGTCTCGACAGTAAACAGCCTCGCCGCCGCAGCTGTTTATAGCTGCTGGGTGTTTTCTGACGTTTGCTCTGTCCATTTCTCCTCCATATTGATTTTTCATTATCGGATATCATGTGGATGTTTGACTAAGTGAAGCCGCGAGAGACAATTTAGTAAATATAAATGCACTGCCATTTACAGAATAATTAAAGATGATTAAAGGTTGTTTTTTAGATGATGGGAGGAGGCCTTTTTCATGATATAAATCTCTGTTAAATAATTATCTGTTAAAGGATGCCTTTAATTATGTTTAAAGACACTTAAATTTCTTTAAAATGGTAGCAGTATATTAATAGACTAAATTAAGGTATCTGGTTGTGAGGGTTCAGCTTTGAGAGGAAATGTGTATTTTGTTAAATACATATTCGACTGGTTCATGAATTAAATTTCTTTTTTTGTAATTTACTGTAGTAGATAATTAATGCCGCTGCAGAATTATGTGAAGGAAGGTTAGATATTGTATGGTCCCTGTTTCTGTAGATGTGCACATGTGGTCTGCTGCTGCATCCCAGATGTGTTTTTCTCGTCTCGTCTTTTTGTGAATCTCGCCTTGACCCCAACATATAGCTCCTATAAAACCATCTAGAAAAATAACCAGGCTTCAGAGGTACAGAATTGTGTAACAAAATCAATAATGATAAAAAATAAATTAAGAAAATGTCATTAAAAATAAATATCTCTGCACTGCTGGGAAACAGCTCCGAGTTCAGCACCTTGGACAGTGACGGACACTTTTTACAAAGCGCTTTAAATACAAAGGTTAGCAGACAATTTTATTTATTTTTTCAAATATAACATCCTTTGTTATTAAAGACAAAAAACACCTAATTAATAACACGATTTATAAGGATTAAAAATAAGAAAGCAGCGAGACAAAAGTGGGTCAAAAATATAATAAAAATAACATTCAAAAAACAAATAGGACCAAGATTTTTAAAAAAAAATGCATCACAAGGTTATATGATAACCTTGTGATGCATTTATTTTAAATTCTTGGTCCTTTTATTAATTAAAATTAAAATTACATCATCTAAATTAAAATATTAGACTGATAAAAGCTTTTGAAATTGCATCTTGTATCTTTGAATATCATATAATTTAATACAACTAATAATATAAATGTATCACTTGACATATTGTGAGGACTGAGCTGCAGGTTGGGACATGATGGAGGGAAAACTCACTTGTTTTAATGCGCAAATTCAGATTTAAATTCATGTAAGCGTTAATGAAACTGTTGTTATTTTACTGTTTAATAACGCGTGCATTAAAGCATTTATTTCTGTGGATATCATGGGTTGCTCACCTCTGTCTTTATTAACTGTCTATATTCACTGTCTATGTGTGTGTTTTGTTGTTTCCCCCGCAGAGATCCCTCAGTGTGCCGGCTGTAGTCAGCACATCCTGGACAAGTTCATCCTGAAGGTGCTGGACAGACACTGGCACTCCAAGTGCCTCAAGTGCGCCGACTGTCAGACTCCGCTGGCGGACAAATGTTTCTCCCGGGCAGGAAGCGTCTACTGCAAAGAGGATTTTTTCAAGTCAGTGTCTTTTATTATTTGACTTTGTTACTCACGTTTATATGTCTTCATAATTAAGCTAACGTTCAGCTCTCTGAAATAATTAGCTGGTTTCTTGGCCTGAACTGTGACCGGAAATACGACTAACGTCAACAAGATGAAATTCAAACAAGCTAACGTTAGCTTAGTTGCATCAACGGAAAGTTACATTTTGGTTATTTTTACCACTAATAAATGTGACTGTATACCGTAAAACTGATTCTGAGGGAATAAGTCTTTAATTAATTTGTCTATATTTGATATTTACTTTCATATGACTTCATAATTAAGCTAAATAATTAGCTGGTTTCTTGACCTGAACTGTGACGGAAATACGACTAACATCAACAGGATGAAATTCAAACAAGCTAACATTAGCTTAGTTGCACCGACGGAAAGTTACATTTTGGTCATTTTTTCCAGTAATTAATGTGACTGTATACTGTGTAACTGAGGGAGATAAGTCTTTAATTAATTTGTCTATATTCGATATCTACAAAATAACCTACTGGTTTATATTTTATCTGGTATAAAATCAAACTAGCAACATTAGCTTAAATCGTTAGCCTACTTGCGTGCTATTAGCATGTTAGCATTACCCCTTTAGCTTACATCTTTTTTTTTTTTTTTTAGGAATTTAAACAGTTACCTTTTAAAATTTTTTTTTTTAGAAAAGCATGCTTTATTATAATGAAAGAAGATGTATTTTTTAAATTGTTTTTACAGTAAGGTTTTATCGTTAAGTGCATTTTATTATTTATTATAAAATTATAAACCATAATATCCAGCATTTTTTTCTCAATATTTTGATATGGTATGGCATTAATCATAATTTTTCAAATAGTATTTATTTTTCCCTTTTTATTAAAATACAATTGTTATGGTCTGGATTTAATTACTTTTTAATTTTATTTTTTTCTAATCGTTAAAATGATTTTGTATTAAACAGCTATCATTTTCTGATATAAAATGATACCATTAGTAAGCTCAAGGCAACTCAGTGGACTATTTGCTGATTTATTTCAGAACTGACAAATATGTTGATGCAGATAATATTCATATGTATTCATAATTTCCATTTTTACTGACCGTTTCATACTGCTGACATAATGAGAGAAACAAAAATATCAATACGAGAACTCAAAAACTCCTTTTCTCCTTTTTCACTCTCTTCTTTCTTTCTTTCTTTCTTTCTAACGATAGGATTTCTGAGGCATTACAGAAGAAAATTGAATTTGACTTTTATCAAAAACAGGATCAGCAGATCCAAGCTTTTTACTAAATCATGTTTGAAAGGTTTTAATGCTCAAAGCTTGAATGAAACCTAAAGAGCTCTGGAGTCTTAACTGAGAGCTAACTGTATTAGCCGACCCCGGGGGACTGCAGGGAGACGTTTGCATGTTCAAACTGTGGCAAGGGACACGTGTGACTGGAGAACATGCACATACATAAACACAGAGATACACACATGTGTAAACGCACAGATTCAGTGGTGTATGCTTCCCGGTAGTGATTTGGAGGCTTCACCTTGCTCTTTTTTATTTCTGTGGGTTGGTTGTGTGATTTAAAGCCTCTCCTGAGTCAGTGTTTTATTGGTTCTCCTCAGGGTGTGTTTACTGTGAGCACCCCTCCTCCTCCTCTTCCTCTTTTTCCTCTTCTTCCTCTTCCTTCACCTCCTCCTCCTCCTTAGCTTTCAGGACTTCATCTGCAAACACATAAACATGCAAACATGCACACACACACTCACACAGGCGTGCACACGCCACACAGTGCATTGATCGTCTCCATCCATCAACCTGCGGACAGGTCTATCGTTAACAGAAATGCATTCCAGTGCTGATTTTTCTCTCCACAACAGCTGGAGCTTCTATTAATACAGACACTGTGCCATCATTCTTGGCTGCAGTTGAAGAAATATCTGTCTGGCATGTGAAATTTTAATCTAGGTTGGTCTCGCTATCTCCACCAGCCTGTAAAGTGGGCATAAATAGGAGAGGGATGTCAGTCTACCCTGCTGGTGTTTTGCATTTAATGTTCTAATGGCAGCTCTCTTCTTCATGTTTTCCTGCAGGCGTTTTGGAACAAAATGTGCATCATGCCAACAGGGGATCCCTCCGACGCAGGTTGTGCGGAAGGCACAGGACTTTGTGTATCACCTGCACTGCTTCGCCTGCATCATGTGCAGCCGGCAACTGGCCACCGGGGACGAGTTTTACCTCATGGAGGATGGGAGGCTGGTGTGCAAGGTGGATTATGAGACTGCAAAACAAAACGGTAGGTTGGGATGCATCCAAAATATTAACATCAGCTAAAATCCAGTCAACTGAAAGGAAAAATACAGGCTGAAACTTTACTTAAAAAGATTTTTTTTAAATCAGAATCACAGCAGAGGATGTGACAGATGAAGCTATGTACATTGTGTAATGCAGTGAAATGACTACTGACTGTGGATCTATGTTGTTTGTCGTCTGGGTGTGTATGCTGTCTCTTTCCCTCCCTCTCCTCTGAGATTTCCATGCATCTCTGATTGATTATGTAAAGTGAAACTATGCTCTTATATGGTGGGGCCCCAATAACTACATTCCTCTGGCACTCGGGCTGTGTAGATTTATGTCCTCTGCTGTGGGAGTGGGACAGATGCACAAGGACAATAATACACTTCCATACATGACCATTCACTTCATTTAACGCGCATACACTCCACGCAAAGGCCGAGGGGCACCGGCTGTTAAGGCAACGTGATGAATGTAAGAAGAAGTCACTCACACTTGTAATGATGTTTTCAGATGATTCAGAGGCGGGGACCAAGCGACCGAGGACCACCATCACGGCCAAGCAGCTAGAGACCCTCAAAAGTGCCTACAAAAACTCGCCGAAGCCGGCACGCCATGTCAGAGAGCAGCTGTCCTCGGAGACGGGGCTGGACATGAGAGTAGTGCAGGTAGAGGATTTTGTCTATTGTCCATATTCCTGCAAAAGGCTCTCTGTTATCTGCAACGTCGACAAAAAGCAGTAGCAAAAAGACAACATCATGTCACTCTGATTATTTTTAATAATTATCACAAATGTGTTTGCCCCATACGACCTGACTACAAGCTGAGCTCCTTAGGTAGCTACTTAATGTTCATTATAAAAACAGATCATGTAAAACCAGCATACAGGCCTTTATTATCAGACTTTGAAGCTAAAAAGACTTCATTTTATTTAAAAGATGAACAAAGACACGATAAAACACATCTTAATGATATCTCAAACTTAATATTTTTTATTTTACTCTATGGTCAGCTTTAACATTTCTTTCAACGATATTTTCTTTTTCTGTTTATTTAATATTCTGTTGTGAATATTTTTGCACCACTATTTTGAACAGTGTTTTTTGAAGTTTATTTAGATGAGAATCAGGAAATTATTTTAGAGGTGGTTATGTATTCCACCATGTATTCCAATGTGTTCACAACTATTTTGTGTCAAACTAAATGGTTTTAAGATTTGAAGATCAGAAAAATGTTGAATAATTCCAATTTAATGACAAAAAAAAAAAATTCATGATGATTTTATCAGTTTTTATTTTCACTTAATGATCCAAGGTCAAGGTCGAAGCACATGGGGAGTTTGCGCCTTTTAAGTTGCAGCACCCAAACATTTTAAGTGTTGCCTTTCTATATTATTGTCCTTTTGACTTTTAAACTGGCCTTTGTTTTTCTATTGTGATGTGTATATGTTTTTTGCTATTTATTGATGGTACAGCACTGTACAACTCTTGTTGTTTTTAAAAGTGTTTTATAACTAAATTGGGATTGGACTGGATTTTGGATAACGATAATTGTTATTATCTGTGTCAGGTGTGGTTCCAGAACCGACGAGCAAAGGAAAAGCGCCTGAAGAAAGATGCAGGTCGACATCGCTGGACTCAGTTTTACAAAAGTGTTAAACGCAGCAGAGGAGGAACTAAAGTAGAGAAGGAAAGCTCGGCCGACGACGCAGGACTCAGTGACAGTGAACTCAGCTTCAGAGGTACGTGTTGTGTGGAAAACTTTAACTGAGTCCATATCTGTAATTACTAAAGAGAGAGATTCCTGAAAGGGAGTTGTCAGTCATGCTGTTGTGTTAATGGGATCAAGGGAGCCTACAAGCTGCTAAATGATACGGTGCAGCAGCACATGAATGTGTCTTTGTGGCAGTTCATTTGTTTTCTTGCATTGTTTGGTGCACGGTGTCAGGAAAATCCAAAATGGCATTCTCATTTCGCATTCCCCTCACACGTCCCCGCAGTCGCTGACGCATCCTCCTGTTTCCGTTTGTCGCCATGATGGAGCTTATTGCAAAAGAGAGAGGCTTCTTAGTGGGATGCAAACGACATTTTAGACATCCCTGTGTTATTTAATGTCCGCAAAACCCGTTTTGGGTAGTCATAAAAGTCTTCAAGCCACTTTTAAAAAGAAGGCCATTTTTATGAGAAATGAAAACATGGTGACAGAAACTCTATAAAGCATGTGAAGCTTTTAGTCAATTAGAGAGAAAGCGCTCTGGGGCATTGTTGTTATTGAAGCGGCTCGGGGGAGGGATTGATATGGAAACAAATATTTTGTGCTGCAGTAATTGCACACATACAGACCTCCTTTGTTCGAGAAGAAAGTGAAGCACATCCTTTCTCACCAACAAAACTCAAACGCTTGTCAGATACTTAGCAGTGGCTCAGCAGTCCACTTACTGTACCTGTGAAATTCACATAATGTTTCCACAATAAATCTCACTCATAAAAGCACTTAACTGTATTGAAATATAACAACTATATAATGCTCTTGCAGTCTACAGCTCTGTTGAAGTGTTAAAGTTTTTACGCCCCTCATGCTAAGTGATGGTATCTCCTCTACAGACGACCAGGTCCTGTCAGATCTCGGCCACACCAACGGGCTTTACGGGAGTGTCGGTGATGTGACCAACAGTGCAGTTCTGAACGGCGGCTTCTCTGTCGACGCAGCAGGACAACCCTACCACGACATCCGAGCAGGAAGCCCCTACGGTCTCCCTCAGTCGCCCTCCTCCATCGCCTCTCTGCCCGGCCACACCCCTCTCCTCAACAATCTGGGCTTCAGCATGGACAGTCTGGTGGCGCAGGGCGGGCCGGGCGGCGTGGGACAGGCTCTGAGGGCCATGGCAGGGGGCCCCACCTCAGACCTCTCCACAGGCAGCAGTACGGGATACCCCGACTTCCCCACCAGCCCTGCGTCATGGCTGGACGAGATGGACCATTCCCAATTTTGAATCTAGAACACGACAGAAGATCGCTGTGGGGATAAAACAGACTCACAAGGCTTTTTACATTTCTTTCTTTCACCCTCCAAGACTGGTACGTTTTGTGACTTTGGGTGAAGAGGAGAAGGAAGAGAAGAAATGTGTGACTCCCTCAGCAGTCGTGACGGTGAGAAAACAACCGGGTCCAGATGTGTAGTTCGGACAAAAGCAGTGAAGAACACCTCCACACCGCTGAATGTTCAAAATCAACACTGTATCATACAATTTTTGGTATCACCTGACTTTATTTTGTTCTTTCACTCTGAGAATGAGACTCTGTGGATTAATGCTCACAGGGGAGGTGATACTGTCGCCCCCAAAATAAACCATCCCTGTCTAACAGCTACAACAATAGGGCTACAATCTAGGTCAAAGTCCCTATGAGACCCAGGAGGCACCTGCATGCTTCTGATTCATGATGAGTAGGACTGCTGTCTGGCCATATCAAAGCCTTTTACATTGGCGATGCACTTTACTCTCCTCTTCTTTTTCTACACACATGGACAGGAATGCAGAGAGAGGACGAGAGAGAAAAAGAGGAGAGACATATGCACAAGGCAAAAACACAGTGTTTCATTGGGAGAGAAATTTACAAGAACAGTGGCACAAGTGTGAATTTTGAACCATGCTGATGTTTTTTAAATGTATTGCTGAAGCTTACAAGTTATTAGGAAGTAGATGGCCGTTGGTCTGTCTGTCCGTCTGTCCGTAGAAACCGATGTCTCCTCTGTTTGAATGAGGGCGAACTCTGTTTGCTACACAGCAGGTCTCTCTTCTATATTTATAGGTGCTTGACTTGTTCTTGTCTGTGTAAAAGCTGCCTGAGAGCGGACGTCCGTCAGTATTAAATGATCTGTTTCCAGACTCGCCAGGCATCAAAGCTCAAGTGTTGGAGGACAGTCAAGAAGTTTAGGGTTCTGGAGAAATTTGACTCAAGTTAATATATCACACGTCTAAATTATTATTAATTTATTTTTTTGAATGCACAGATGTAAGACGAGCGGATGTCCATTAATAAGATATGCAGATTCCTTTGCAGATGTTATAAATTAGATGGTTATGCAACATTAATTTGACATTCAAAACACCAACAAGTATTAGCAGGAGTAAAAAGTCCCTTTGTGTTGGCTCCCCCTGTTTCCTCAGTCTGCTCCAGGCTTCTCTTGGTAATCTACTCAGTCCAGCAGAGCTCTAGCTTTGCCTGCTATCAACCTACTTACTGACCCCAGATGTGTTGTCAATCTGTTCTCCCTCTGCCTGGCCTCCATGTCAGAGGGATTACCACAGAGCCCCCCACTATCACCCTACTGTCGCTTCAGTGCTGGCATGACTGCTGGGCTGATATGTTTCTTACAGTTCAGGCCACATCAGCTTAAAGCCCCCCCCCCCCCCCCCCCCCCCCCCCCCCCCCCCCCCCCCCCCCCCCCCCCCCCCCCCCCCCCCCACACACACACACACACACACACACGACAACTGACACAGGAGACTGATTCACAAAAAAGTCTCATGAAATACAAACTTTCTTTCAGCTGTAATGGCAAAAAATAGTTTGCTTTGACCTGTTGAGCATGTCAGAACCAGTAGCTATTCTATTAAAAACATCCTCATTCTTATTTCTGAAGAAAAGAAATCTTATATATGTGGTCACCTTTTCATGAAGAATTGCCAAGTCCTTTTTTTAACCAGAGCATCCTATAGAGTGGCGCAGGAATGAAGCCTAAAACCTGGAAATGACTTAGCATTTTTGCACTCCTGCTTTCTTCTCTTCTGTCTCGAAGCCAGTGGTTTTTCAAATGGGTTTTTGGTTAGTTGCCTAAAATAAGGTCTGTGGTTACAACAAGCTTAAGAGACTTTCACGTTTTGTTCAACGACATAAAATGCATCAGTAAATATCCCACTCTTGAATTTTGAAGCCTTTAGGTGTCCTAAAAAGAGGTGGCTGAATGAGACTAGAAAACGTCATCATGCGAAATGTGGTTTTAAAGCCTCGTTGTGGTGGTGACCTTAAGTCATGCGTCTACAATAGCTTTTGACTTCTGGCGATCGCATTTATGCTTCAAAACTCATAGAAGTGGTGTTGATTTGTTAAGATTATCTTGCTGAACAAGACGTGTAAATCTTAAACTTTTGTTTGCCATAGAGGTTATTTTCTGCAATGATCCTGAATTCATTGGAAAAATACCATAGGCATTTTGATGACGGAATTAGGGTGACACTAACTTTCATGTCGGCCTACTAAAAAAACAAAACATCATCCCTGCAGCACTCTATTTAAGAGCCAGAAAAACCAACAAACAGGAAGTAACACCATTAAGAAAATCGGGGTAGCACTTTGGACTACAGCCTGCAGACTGCAGCGTAATGATCTAGGAAATACATGATATCAATGAAATACTTATTGTATAGCTATACTGGGATTAAAACAACGGTACAGGGCAAGATGACAATAGGTTTGGGGATTAAAGGGGTTTGGAAAAAAAGAAGGTAACAGTGTTGATAGTTCAGTGACATTATGTTGCGGCATAATAATTTATTTTAAAAGTTATTGCTGTTTCTTGGGAACCAAACAACAGTTTTTCATGACCAAGCTAAGTCCTTTCTATACTCCGCCCTAACTACAAATTATTCCCAGTATTCTCCCCTTCTACATACCAGTAGATACCCAGTGTTTCACTGGTAGCCTACTTCATATCTATAAACTGTGAGATTTGCGGGCTGTAATCTGAAGTGTTCAGTCAATCATCCACAAACACATTATACCACTACAGTTTTGTTACATCTGTGTTGCCTCAGAAGTTTGCATCTTAATTGTTGTAAATTTTGTACAGTTTGAAAACGTGTTGATCGTCTTGTTTCATGATCGCTATTTATTATTATTGCCATGTGTCTTTGAAAAAGATGTAAAAGAGAGCACTGAATTTATTCATTTATGCCTTCTGTGTAATGGTATGAACCGTGTACAGTCAAATCTATATGAGGAAAATAAAGCTGAATTGTCTTTGGGTTATCTGCGAGTGCGTTTCTCTTTAACCGACCGGGCTGGCCTGCGGTGATGAATGTGAGAGTTAAGATTTTCAGCTAAACTTTGTTTTCGATATATCAAAAGAAAAATATGTGCTGTAGGTGTTTTTATTATTTTTGCCTTATCTAAACGCTCTTAGGGCGAGTTAACCCGCAAATTCATTTACCCATTGAGAGCATTTACCACACATTTAGGCCTCTATTCAATTGTGGAGATCCATTTAGTACCACCAGCAGACAGTGGTCAGTCAGTTAACAGTGATTGATGCTGCTTTCCTCTCTCGCTCTCGGGGTGGGGGGGTGACAAGAAAGATACATGAAGAGAGAGGGAGACTGAGAAAAAATAAAACAAGTGGGGAAACAGATGCCTCGCTGGCTTCACTGATCCTCTCAGTGCTAAAGAGACGCAGCAGCAGATTGCAGCGCTGCACTGTCAAATCTATCCTTAATCCCTGTGCTGTTAACTAATTGTAGAGTGCTTTGTGAAATATGGGAAAATACGCTTTGTGGTCAGGCAAAGAGGGAATATGGCCCATATGCTGGCAGTTAGCTTGTATGTCAATATGTCAAACTGCTAGAAAGACTCAGATGCAGGGCTGTAGCCAGGATTTTTAACCACTGAGGTCACAAGCCCCATTTTCCTGAGGGCCATGATACACCAAGCCGACAGTTGGCAGTTAGTTGATGTCAGACTGACGGCATCTGTCACCCTAGTTTTTGTGTTCTGTCTAACACCATTGGCACTAGTCGGCCCTTGTTGGCTTTTTTTCGGCCGATTCAGCATGTTGAATCGGCGTCGGAGATGGTGGAGTCCCTCTGTGAATGAAATCACTCTGATTGGTTGTTCAGCTCAGCGCACAGAAGAGAAACAGAAGAGAAGAAAGCAAGCAACCACTAAAGTCAAGAGGGCGGCGAGATCAAAACAAAATTGTTATATAAGGTATGACTCAGAAATGGTTTGTAACTGTTTGTGTTACTGTTCCCTGGTGCACAGTAAACATCCTTTATTCTTCCAACTGCAGGCTATGTTGTTAATGTGCTAATTGGCTAACTAGCGTCTTGAATCCGAATCCTACCTAAAAGCAAACATTTCTTGCTTGGTAGCAGACATGGCCACAAGCAAAAACGAATAAAGTCGACGGTGAGGACCAGCTTTTGGGAGAGCAGTGGAAAGATGGATGGATGTATGTTGGATAAACTTTGTTCCTGGTCGTCAGGTATAACAAGTTGAAGGGATTAGTTCCTGAGGTTTGTGACATAAAACCCGACTATCTAATTCCGTGTTTTTGAGACTGTTATTGGTACTGCAGTTGCAAGGCGTAAATGCTCAGTCATGGTGTTGACGGCTTATTTCACTAATGTCATATGTTAATTTTCACGGGAGGGGCTCTTTCATATTTCATTTTAATTTGGGAAAAAAGTCAAACTGAGAGAATATTGAGTCTAAACACAACTGAGAGTCTACAGGTGCGACTAAGAGCTCTGTGAGGCTGTACCTCCAGGCACAATGGTGCTTTGGGTTAAATGGAGACATGCTCACAATAACAATGGCAGCATGAAAATGTTAGTAGACATAGTTTACCATATTCACCATCAACTGTTGCAGATTTTAAAGCCAAAGTTTTGGACAAATCTAAATTCTAACCTGACGATGACACTAGATGAAAAGTTGAGAGATCACAAAAGTTATTCCAGTTCATCCTGAGGGGAACATGAACATCTGTGCCAGATTTCACAGCAATCCATCAAATATAAAATCATTTAAAAAACACAATTGGCCAACTGGTGGAATAGGAGTTAAAACTATGAACCGCAATGTTACTGGTTTGCATCCAGCTGAGGGCCTTTGTAATATATCATTCTCCGCCTTCTCTCCCCTCATTTCCTGCCATCTTTCTACTGTTGGCTTTTAAATAAAATATCCAACTAATAATTTAGTCATGTCATTGAAGCCCCTAAATTCCCCAAAACAATATGGATGACATGACTTAAGTGTTTCTGTTTGTAGCTTTGGCCCTGATCGTATGTGTGCGTGTGACTGCTCGCTGTTTGCTATTGTTCTTAGTTGCTGCATTGCTAAAACCTCTCAGGTTACAGCGGATTTATTCCCTGTAACTACGGTGTTGGCTAACTATGTATAGAATTATAATGAAATTACACCACAGTGTACATCTGTATGAAGCTCATTTGTATGCAGCAATGTGCAGCACTTGTTTGAGAGCAGGCCAACCTAACCCAAACTTAAGTGTTATCGATTCCTTTGTGTTTTAGCTATTCCTGTTACATTATAAAAACAAAAAGCAAAGAGTCAGCCTGGTGGGAGTTTGCACGTTTGCATAAAACGCCACAAATTGAGCTGATTTTTATTTAAGCATTGATTGGCTGGGCTATGGGCATTAATGGATAGGCTCTAATAGTACGGCCTTACAAAGATAAAAAGCCACACAGACAGTTAGGATAATTTACACGCCACTTACAGCACTAGTATACAAATAAATCTGTGGAAACTCCACCACTGTTGCTTTTGCGAAGATGACAAACACAAGCACAAATGCCATTATCATCGATCGCAAGGCTTTTATTACAAACTTCCTGAAGGAAACAGTTTTTTTTCCGTCTGAAGCAAAAGGGAATAAATTAACATGCAAAATAGATAGGATTTGTTTTGGCCCGAAAGTCAATCTCGCAGCACCGAGACAGGGCATTTTTCTCCCCAAACGACTCCATCGGCCCGCAGTGAACAATGATCCGCAGGATGACGGAGTGAGTCTTAAAGAGGGGCTGGAGTCAAACAGAGGCCTCTCAATGACACCCTCAAGGTTGTGAGCTCAATGCTGTTTTAATGTGAAACTGGGCCTTTTCCACTCAATGATTATCCTGCTGCACATATCGGATAGATGACAGGTAACCAAAGGAGGAAGGTTCACGACCCCGAGGAAACCATGATAAATACAGCAGTGATGATAATATGTCTGCTGTATTGAAGGCCATGGTCTTTAGTGTAGTTCTCTAGTGGTTTTCATGTGTTTAAGTGACACAGAAGCTGTGAGAGAGTGTAATGAGACTCTTTACTGTTTGTCTGAAGGCTCCGGCCCTCGCTGTTGGTGGATACCAGAAACGCTTGTTCATCACCATAAACCATACACACACACACACACACACACACACACTCCTGGACACCAGTGAATGAGCCTCTGATATTAGTGGGAAGTGTTTCAGCAGCAGAGGGATTTCTGCTTACTGTTGGGTTCACAGCAACGCTGCTCAGGGTGGGGGTGCTGCAGCGTGGAGAAAAAAGGGGGGGGGGTAAAGAGTTGCATTAAGAGCTGGCCAAAGCAACGACATGGTATTGCTTTTACAGGAGAG